TGATTCAAAACACACAAAAGAATGAAAACAAGGGAATAAAGATTACACTATTCTTAGAAAATATGGTTATCTATAAAGAAAACTAACAGCTAAGATAATTCTGAAGATGGAAACAAGACTCATCAGACTTATCAGACGTGATGAGTGTTAGGATGCTGTAGTAATTAATACAGCCTCGGTTTGCCAAAAGGATGAGCAAAAGAACAGTGAGATGCAACAGTGAGCTCAGGAGCTTTCAAAATATGAAATTCTGGATAATGATAATTATGTTCTCACCATAATTTTTCTACCAAACAATTATAAAATGTCAAAGTTGACCCACTATTTCTCCCTTGTAGCTTTCTCAACAACTCAAAGTAGTCAAAACTATTATACCTTAAAAATATCTACTGAGAAAGATGAACAGAAAGAATAATTTCTAGAGCATTAGGAACTAAAACAAAAAGGAGATGAATTTGGAAGTCCTCTTACTGAATGTTTAAAACTTATGAGAAATTATCATGTCTAGATATGCAATGTTTACAAATTTGGGGGGAAATAGAGAAGCCAGAAGAAAAACTGAGATATTACTGTAAATTAGGCAGTTTTGAATGAACCTGGTGACAATAGCAGTTAATAATATCTTACATAAAGTGTGGGCAGTTGAGAATGGCTGGTACTAATAAAGAACTTTTAAATAAGAATTCTTTAAAATTCTCTCAGATTCAGGAAAATACTTTGCAAAAAACAAAATGAAAAAGACTCAATTATTATATCTGTCTCTGTATGCACTATTAGTGTTAAAAAAAGAATTAAAGTGTAGATTTTCACTGCATTAAAACTGTAGTTTTTAAATTTTTAAATTGTTCTTTAAAATTCAAGAATCTTCAATTTACTAATACACTTACATTTTTCCTTTAGGATATTCTATCAAAATAGCAATCACAATAATTAAAATACTTATTTGTAATGTTTACCAATACTTAACACCAGGAATTAATTTTGTGCACTATCCTCACATTTGTAACGAAATTAATTTCCAAGCTGTCTTGCCATAATTCAGTGACACCTTCTGGATTGTGACCACTATTCCCAACAGATACAGGTGTTATGTCTTTGGGGTGATCTGCCTG